TAATCAAAAGAGGTAAAGCAGATTTTATCCCTAAGGAAGTCACAAGTCCTGTCTTTGTCCTCCTATCAATGCTAGGGAATCACTTTAATTTCCCTATCAAAATAGCCCAGCTCAGACAAAACTTACCAGTCTCATGCTCTTTTTTTTTTTTTTTTTTACAGTGTTCAGTGTTACTTCTGTTAATAAATCATTAAGGACCCATGAAAAGAGGAGGAAAATACATATTAGACTTACTTATTTCAAGCCAGAAAACATGGAATCATTTAGGCATTCGTTAGAGAATCACTGAGCAAGCAAATTTTATAATAGTTGTTCAGTTTAGTTTCTCTCTTTTTCCTTTGGAGACCACAGTTCAGTCACACTATATTTATTGGATTCTGGTTTGGATGCCACAGTAACATAATGACCCATTCATAAAACTGGGGCAAAAGGCAGACTTCCCTATCGATCCAGCCCATCTTGACTAAAATTTACATCCAGCTAACTGTGATTTGCAAATTCATCTGTGCTATTTACTCCAGCTTCCAGATCAGGGCAGAATGCATTGAATAAAATGAATTTTAATGCATGTTTTGAGTATCCATCTACACTTCACCCTATATTAAAGTTCACTTTATTCATTGTCTTTCATCTGTTTCTTCCTCCATGTAATAGCAATCATATTCAAGTGAATGTGGATGCATTTTGTAAGTTTTTCAAAGGCATGATCATTCTTTACTAAAATGCAAATGTATCTACTGCATATCCTTCATCCACTAATTTTGTAAGTCTATCAAAAAAGCAATCAAGTTTGAGTGGCATGACATGTTTTTTTCCTTCCTTTTTGTTTATACTCATGCTGATTTAAAAAAATTAATGGTTTTCATTACAGCACCAAGGTAATTCAGCGTAATGAAACAAGTACCCTGTAATAATGAAATACAGAATAAATACAAAATGTAAGAATTGGAACTTCATCTAAAAGTTAAGGGTATCATTTGAATATTTCGTTGTACCAAATATACATTTGTTATAAAAAGTAAACTAAATAATGCCATGTATAAAGAAATTGCTAATAACAAAGATATACTGAACTGATAGATACATTTTATTCTCTTGGTATTTTTCATCTCTACTTCCATATTCTAGGCCTGTGGGTTATAATGCTCATGAATAGACATTGTTCTGATATTGCCATGTGACAAATAAAAGGTAGTGCAGGCAAAAGGATGCAATCAGTATATTTTCTAAAATGTTTTAATATTTATTCTGGTATTTTTAGCTTTTTGGCACCACAAAGATTTTGAAACCAGGCATTAGCATTCTGTATTAAACAGGCCACAGATTTTTGTCAACGTTTTCTGCAGAGAATTGTTCTCTCCATGTACCTGGGAGATAAAAAGTTCAATAACTTGCAGATGAACTAGAGTATATTTTTTCAACACATATACAATCTTACTTGTAAAACAACAGACTGATAACTCCCTTGGTAATCTGCTTCAGCAAAATACAACCTTGATTTTGTACAGCTGAATATTAGCCCCAATTTGATTGTTTTCAAACTTCATTTTTTAGCTGTAGGTCTCATTTTTCTACTGTCTGTCAGTTTACTTAGCCTCCAGTGGTCAATATTTTATTCCATGATGAATATTCATAATCCACAATCAACTCTTCCCTTAACCTTCTCTGCACTAAGCAGGAGCTACGGAAGCCTTTCAGTATAAGGCAAATTTTCCAAACCTTACGTAAATTTCTTTGAGTATTTTCCTATTATTGACACTGCTTTTTAACTCAGTGAATTCACCTTTTGTCATATATCTGCCTTCTGATAGTTTTAAACAGCTATTGGAATAGCTGATGTTATCACATGAAGCATTGACTCTATGAATTGCCCCATTCAGAGGGCTACTACTTATTGTCCAGTGTGCTGCAGCATCCAAAACATGAATGCAAATTTCTCCTTGTGAGGCCTTATATGAGACCCTGAGCTGCAAAGAAATCTGTGGGTTTATCTTTTGCTTGATTGAAGAAGAACAGACTCATTGGAAGATAGAATAGCGTAGGAGATAAAATGGGAAAAGTATTAGTAATTTGCGGTTGTCACACATAGCAACGAGATGCACTGACAGTGCCAGGGCTGCAACTGATCTCTCCTTTCACTGATGAGGAGTAACAGGGCTGCTTAAATGTCAGGCATACTGATCACAGAACAATGCATTAAAACTACCTTAGTATCTACTGCCTCAATTTTGCAGTTTCAGGTGGGCATCTCCATACTGGTTACACTTCATGATTGTCTACAGAGAGGAAGTGAGTGAAATAATGGTTGCATACTGGGAGTTTCTGGTAGTGATTTAATGTGTGAAAATTTTTCTGATGGAGTTTGACTTCACTTTTCTGCTTTGGAGTAAAGTTGGTGGCCTGTTCTTGTGAATAAGGCTGTGAGGCGAGTGTAGACAGAGCCATGGTTGATCCCAGCCTACAAAGGATACTATGAAAGATTGAATACTGCAGTTTAATTTATATTTATTTATTTTGTATACAAGGAAAGCCACTTACCTGAATTCTGATACAGTACATGTAATATTTATTAAGAGTGTACCAGAAAAAGGAAATCAAATGGGTAAGAGCAGAAAAGCTTAACTGCAAAACCCAGTGTAAGTACATTAACCACCACAGCGATCTTCAGTAAATCCCTTTTATTTGAAAATACCTAAAGGAGGATTTCACATACATATCTTCATTTAGTTGTTTTGGCTTTTTTTTTTTAACAGATTGTAAGGTAGGACAGGTTTCAAACTGAGATAAAACACTCTTTCGTTTGGATTTTGGCTAGAAAGCCTGTTCTGCCATGGATAGAAGACAGCTGCTGGATAGCTTCACCTATACCAACAATAAACTCAGTCTAGGAGTTCTTCGGGAAAAAAATGAGAAGCTTGACTTCTGTGATGCAGGAGATCAAACTACATGACCTTGAGATCTCTTCCAACCTAAATGATTGTATAGTTCTATTTAAAAAGACATACTGTGGCATTGATTACTAGCAAGACTAGGCAACTGTATTCATAGATGTAGACACCGAATTTTGTAGTTTCTTGCTTTACATTTTGAAATACAATTCAAATTACAGTACAGAGTGCAGTTTTTATTTTCAAATAAATTCTGCCTTTAGGACCCAAAATTTGCATAGAAAACATATATAAGGGGTTAATTATTTTTTTTTTCTATGTATAAATAAACACAGAAAGCTCTGCAAGGTCATAATACACCACTGTGGCAAAGACCTTCAAAGCAGCAGTGATGGTGTTTATGTTTACTTAGCCCATACATTTCTCATAGGAGATTCAGGGCTTTATTTCTTCCTTTAAACCAAATCAAAGTAGAATGGGAGTCAAAATTCTCAAAATCTCATTGATTTTTAAGACTGTAGTGGAGGAGATGGTGGGGAACCACTTTGTAATTGTTGCTCACCTGAAGAATAGTGCTCTCTTGTTTAAGTGCATTCATTAGCCAAGCACCTTGGAGTATCAAAACGCATGTGTAAAAGCTCTGGTAGGAACGACAGCCTGGCCCCACTCTGTTAGGAAGGACGTCAATGCTTATCCAATACCATGAGTCACAAACAAATAAAACACTATAAACTTCCCGTAAAGGTTGTATTTCATTCATTTACAGTGTGTGACTGCAAAAGTACGGACCAGCAGATCTTCCTTAAATGACAAAACAATAAAGATACAATGCAGCTCATTAGACAGCAAAGGTTTTTTTCTATATAGTGATGTAACAACTGCAAGAACCACCACTAATATAACTGGGCTGCCAGGGTGTAGCAGAGGCCACATGCAGCTCTGGACACCTGCAGCACCCACCGTCCCTGCTGGACCCCAAGACCCTGGCTGGCTGCTGGTTGTTCCTAGCCACTGCATTTGCAGTGCCTGGTAGACCAAAAGTCAGCAAAAGCTACAGCTCCATGTGTAGCTAGCTTGTACTTGGCTGTTTTGGGGCATGTTTCAGGAGTTACTGAGAACCTATCATGCCATGAAACACATACTGCACTATGTAAAAGAAAACTGGATTTCAAGCTGCACATCTGTAAGAGCCTGCTGCACGTAACTTCAGAGCTTGGCCACAAGTCTGCAGTGACTTCCTGCTCAGTTTTGACAGTGCAGCACTGCCATAGCAGTAGGTAGGTTGCATAGGGATGACAGCAAGCATGCTTTAGGCAGAATTCATGCTTTAATAGAAATTTGTCTACCAAATTTCTTATTTTCTTTGCTGCTGAGCTCACCTATCCTCTCTAACTCCAGACTTCAGTGTGGACAGGAGGAGAGTCTGCTGTCAAACACAGACTCAGGATTACAGACCTATCCACAGCATTCAGTGCCTGCACCAAAAGTAAGCGACTTTCTTCCAAAGGTCATATGAAATCCCTGCTCTTCAGAATAGAGAGAGAAGACAAAAAGGCAGAAAGAAAACACACACCATTTTTCCCAAGTTCATCTAAGATATTTTACAGTAAAGCAGCATCTTGGTCTGCATCTATTTATTATAATGTTCTCAAATATTGCTCATCATCAAGGAATCTGAGCTGTACTATGTTTTATTTTTGGTGAAGAAAAAAAATCATGTTTCACTTGTATTTTTTAAGAACATGAAGTAACAGAGTATTGCAGATAAACACCAAGTAGAAAATATAGAAAGGAATACTGAAATACTAACCTTACTAGTTTTTTTGCATTCCTCCTTTTAACTGAAATCAGGATTTTAGCTTGAATTTGTACTATAGCTTTGTCTTTAGGACTAGAAAGTAAGTAGTCATTACAATCTATAAATAGAGTTTTTTCCTGAATACACAATAGTGACAGAAACCAAAGATAGAATTTGAATTTGTGTGGGAATCTGTGGCAAGTGGAACTCGTTTCCCTAAAACTACAGTGCCATGGTTTAAGCCCAACCTATAACCCAGAACCATGCAGCTGCTCGCTCAGTCTCCCTCTGCTCTGGAAGGAGGATGTAAGGGAAATAACAAAGGGAGAGAATATAAAACTAAAAGGGGAAAAGGAAAACAATAAACACAAGTGGTGCACAATGCAGCTGCTCACCCCCCACTGACCGATACCTAACCTGACCTGAGCAGTAATCTAAGCCTCCTGGGTAACTCCCTCCAGTTTCTATACTGGGCATGACATGCTGTGGTATGGAATACCCCTTTGGCTAGTTTGGGTCAGGTGTCCTGTCTCTGCTTCCTCACGGCTTCCCTTGCGCCTCCTCACTGGCAGAGCATGAGACTGAAAAGTCGCTGATCAGGGTAAACTTTACTTAGCAACAACTAAAAATCTTGGTGTTATTAGTATTGTTCCCAGGCTGAAAGTCAAAAACACAGCACTGCACCAGCTACTAAGAAGGAGTAAAATGGCTGCTACTGCTGAACCCAGGACACACAGGTAAGTAAAAAAGAAAAAAAATTAAATAAGAAAAATTAAAATGGCATTAAGTTATTCTAGACTACAAAGCAACATGAAAAGCGTGAAACTCAAATAGTCTTCTTGGTGACCTGAAGAGGTATAAGTGTGTTCAAAATTTAACTCTCAGCTGGATCTTAATTAACAATTCTGCTTTTTCCTTTGTATGGAAAGCAGTATTTCCACATACTCCATCTTCAAACAAGTGAACACCCAGTACTGTACATTTCTCATTTAATTATCAATTAAATGGTTTATTTTCAAAGTACTGAGACACTACATTTTGAGACCTTTGAAAATCCTTTCTGTACTGAAGCCTGCTTAGCATAGAGCGCATCAAATCCAGTTGTCAATTTGGGTGCTGAAACTTTGAAAAATCAATCACTGCAGTTCTGAAAGTGTACGTCTGGGGAAGCAATAAACCTTAAAAAAAACCAACCCCACCCTGTATATTAAATATACATAATTTATGAGTTAAAATGTGAAAAGCAACAGTTTCTTTCTTATCTTAAAACAGGAAAATCTTATATTGGAATTAAAAAGAACTGGTGGTAAAATAGAAAGTAGTGAAATAAATGCTAAAGCTATTCTAGTTGCTAATTAACCTTGTCTCACTTGATAACAAGCTCAAGAACATTTCCTGCTTTCCTGTACACATACACCTCAAAATTACACAGTAGAGAGGTTGAATGAGTTTAGGCTAATTTTGCAAGTTCATTATATTCCAGATTGAAAGGTCTTTTCTTGAAAAAAAAAAAAAAGAAGAAAAAAGAAATAATGTCAAATTAAGGGTTATATTTCCTTCACAGTGTGGCTTCTTAACACAATATTTTTAGAATTACTGGTTAGTGGTTCTTAAGGATGTATCCTAAAGTAACAGGAGTGTCATGTGCTTCGACTAGTCCAAGCAGTACCTCACAAAATATATGTATGCCATTGGCTTGAACCTGTCATTGCAGGATACGTTTCTGCTTAGATATATGAAAGGCAAATATGCAAAGTAAAAAGCCCCTTTTCCGAAGCTGCTATTAGACTGAAATTTTGCTCTGCTCCAAATGTGTCAGAAAGAGATGATGATAAGACATGTCTTAGTACTTCCTCCCATCTCCCCCTAACTTTGCATATATATGAAAGTACAGAACAAAAATGTGTTGAGCTAAAAATTATCTTGCTACAATCAAAATTTAACTGCCACATATACTCTGAAGAAAACGAAGGTTTTGAGGCATTGAGCGAGTTGTATAAAACCTAGTTTCAAATTCTATTTTTAAACTTTTCAGGAGCAAGTTATAATTTTCCAAAATTATTTTTAATTAAAGAAATTCACAGATTAATTCCTGTAATTATTACTAGCTCTGTAAATTGTTTAGAAGCTTTAATTATGAACATTTAATATTCAAAATTCAAGCTGAATTGTGATTAAATATAGTCCTATTTCTGCTTCTCTGCCAGATGAGAATAACACTTGGAATGAAGGATTTCAGAGTATTAAAAATATGCATAAGAGTTAAAAACTGTCAAATTGCCTAATATTTACCTAAAATTCATAGTTTCTTGTTTAATACTGTTACGGCTAGTGAATACTGATGACAGAGGACAAAAACTATTGAGATTTGGAAAGAATGGAAATGAGTCTAATAGGAAGTGAAGGTGAAGGCAAGAGATGTAAGGCAAAAGACTGAAAACTAAGTACATGGTGCTTTGCATGGGCTTGTGTGTGTGCAAATTTGACTTTTTTATGTACTTGTGTTTCTGTACATTTGTACGTTTAAAGACATAGCTTTTGAAGTAAATATGAGCAGGCATCAGCACTGTCAACTTTAACCTAATTTTTGTTGCTGTTAAGTGCTTTTGGCTATAAGTGCTTCCATAATTTTATCATTTTTTGTTACATTTAATAGAGATTTGTCCCAGGTTAGTGGCATAGGGCAATGACCTGAGGTGATGAAGTTTATTTTATATAGAACATGTAAAAAAGAGGGCTACATACTATATTTTGTAGGACTGTGACGGTTTGGATAGAGCATCAAGCTCAATGTGCTAACATGGATTACTTGCTCCCCTCTGATCAGTTCCTGTGATGGAGTTTGTGGAGTGAGAAGCTACGCGCTCAGTAAAGCCTACTGAGGAGCAACCAGAAAAGTCTATGATTTACATTCACACACTCCTACCAAACAACTTCAGGAAAGTTTAACTAAAGAGCAATTTTAGTCATAAAACAAACCCCAAACATCAAACCAACAGAAAAGCCCAAAACTAAAGACCAAATGAAACTTGTGATACTCTATAGGGAAATGAAATCCATTTACTTCCCACTGTGTATATGAATCAAGACACTGCAGTTTGCTGAGGAATGTACAATTACGCAGGCACCTTTAACCTTTCTGAGTCTATTCTAGAAAAAGAAAAGGAAACAGGCAGAAAAAGGAAGGCTTAATACCATCTCATTCATGATAGTTTTTTGTATTTCATTTCCCAACTAATTAACCTTTTCTGCAGAAAAAAGTTCCACATTAGGAAGCACAGCATAACAAACAACTCGCCATTACTGAAAAATGGTTTCTAATTTAAAGTAATTCCATTCTTTAGAAAAAACACTCCTAAGTTCCATGGAAAATATTTCTATATACCCTGCTCCCTTATCACCTAAAAAAAAACAGACACGTATGCAGAATTTAAAATTATTTAATTTCAAGGTCCAGTTTTTAATGTGAAAAATGGTTGTCTCTGAGCAAAATGTTATCCAGAAAGATTGTATTTTTTCATATTAAAAAATGTGAACAGTATGCGAAGGGAGTTTATTATGTTCAGACTCGTTATATCATTTAACTGTACATACATAATCTAGTAAGTGTCATTTTAAAGTAGTACTTTAAATGTATAGAAAGCACATGTAGACACAAAGTCTCTATATGTTCACCCACTCACAGCCACACCTTGTTTATATGTAAGCGCACATATGTATATATTTATTACAAGTATATATATACCTTCTGTGTAACATTATATATGAGAACTTACATATGTGTAAACAGATGTGTAGATATGCATTGTTTCCATTCACTGAACAAAGCGAATGAGACAAAGTACTGTATCTCTCTCAGACTGCCTGTAAGTCTTCATACATGGTCATCATCTCTGTGTTACCAGAACACTTGGACACTCCAAAAATAATCTGACTTCAAGAACATATAAGAAAAGTCATTTTCAGAACGAGCCTCTACTCAACATACTTCTGAAGTGGCCGCTCACTGAAAGAGAAACTTTTCATTGGTGAGATGCTTTACTGCTGCTTTCATTTACGTGGCAATCTATTTTGAATATTTCTGTAGTGACAGATATGCAACAACTCCTTAACATAAATATACTTCATTTAAAAGCAGTCAGCTAAAACCCTATAAAATGCATCAGTTTAATAATTTGAAAAATCATAGTTGCTGTTATACAAGAATTTGGTATAACCAGATATGATTATGAAATGGATAACATGTTATGGTTGAAAGATTCCAATAGACTTGTTATGCTGAAAACATTCCTCAAAATAGATGTATTTTCCCCCTACATTCCTGCATTTTTAGAAATTATATTTCTTTTCCACATTTCAAATGTTACATGAGTTACAGACAAGTATATTTATGTGCAAATTTCAAAATGATTGAAATTGCCACTTCACAGCCAAAGAACCCTATTAATGGCAAGTACTCTGACAAATTGTTCCCAATATCTTTTTTGCTATGCTCCCAAAGCCAAGCTCCTGAGTGTGTCACATCACCCATTTCACTCTGAAAAGGACAGTCTATACATGCCCAGTTTATATATGAAGGAAGACAAATTAGATTAGCTGAAACTGTTATTATACAGTACATCATCTGGAGATATTTTTCTCAACTCCTGCTCGAGTCACAAGAAGTGACAAGTTGCTTTGCTGATTTGGAGCTGAAACAGGTCTAGAGTGTCCTTCAGGCATATGCGCCCCACAGTTTTATACAGAAGAACAGCTTTAAACATGAGCAGTTCTCTAGAAAGTCTCAGGCCTATCATGAAACATTGAGACAGAAGCTTGGAGACTAGAACAGGCATACTAAACACGCAACAGCATCAATTCTGTCAGGCACAGTGTGAAACTGGATTGACTGTTCTCTGCATGATGGTTATGCTACGCGAAAAAGAAAGAGGAATTCTTTAGTCCTTGTGCTGTGCCAATATATTAAAATAACATTGCAACAACAGCAGCAATTGGTGGCAGAAGATACCATGTGTCATGTTACTTGTCCTTCACCATCTATGAGATAACATGTCTAGTAGAAATTACATGATAATTCAGTCCCATATTAATGCCTGGGAATCTCGTGCAAATTCACTTTGTAATCCAGTAGGAGTTTTTACTTTATGGATTATATTCAGAATACTGGAAGATAGGAACCCCATAATTTGAAGATAGGGTACATATATTCCATCTTGTGAGCAGTGGAGCCCTCTGAGTTATCTAATGAAACCAGTAGGGACTTAAGCATCTTTCAGTATCTAGCTCTGTCATTTCTTACTGAGACAAATGAGATATAAGGCTACTGTAAAAAAAATAATTGATACTATTCCTCTAGATATTGCTGTAAGGATACTGTAGGAATATGCTAATCATGGCATCTGAGTCTGCTACACTGAAACTTCATAAATGCAAGATTTTATACCAGTACAGTCAATTGCCAGGTATTATCAGTAAGATAGAGTTTTTAATAAACGATGCTTAATGAATGCTAATGACAAGAACATGGTTCTTCTTCTAGGCCTCTGAGATCTGGTTTGGAAAGACATCAAAAGGGTAAGTTTTATTTAAAAAATATAAAAATTCTGGGATTAGCTTCTAAATTACTGTGCTCTAACTTGCTTTAACTGATTTTCTTATTCAGACTTGTTTGAAGTTTGATATCGTAGATGCAATGGAAACAGAGCCATGGATTTAAATATCATTTTGGTCTATGTTCTACTGCAGAATTTTATTTTATTTGGCAACACAGTTAAGAACACGTAATCAAAATGGTGAAACAACTAAGTACAAAAGATTTCTTGAAACCTACGCTTCAGTATTTCTGACTTCCCTACTCAACAAAGAGGAACTCTTCTGGTTTTGGGAAACCCCAGAATTGTGGGTGTCCCAGAGGGATTTGGAGAACTTGAATATCCTATTTCATATCAGTTCATATGATAGGGGGACTGAGATTTTTCTTAAGATCTTCAGAATTTTCCTTCTGTCTGAGATATCATGAATTCTCTTTTTTTTTTATGAGAGACCAGAACAAACATTTTTTAAGATTGTGGTGCTTTTCATGGAATAGAGCTTGATTAGTTCTACTCAGAGGGAGCTTTAATGATTTTAAATGGGGTTTCTTATGATTATGAAAGTCTGTGTTAACAAATGGACATCCCAACATCTCTGCGTCCACACTAGAATGAAGTGAGAAAATATAGATGCTGAAAATAGAACTGTACCACTGAAAAAGGAACATCCTGGAAGGAAAAATATTTATGAAAATATAACCTTAAACAGGAACGCTGTTTTGTTGACCTACAATGAAACAGATTTCATGTCTTACATAAGTTTAGAAGGATGCTCACAAGTATCTAGGTATTGATTAGTAAATTACTTAGAAATTTCTGGATAATACTTATTTGGAAATTCATATACCTCTTGGATTGAAAAACAAAACCAAAAGCACAAAGGAACAAAAAAAACCCCAAAATCAACCAGTGAACCAACCAACCAACCAAAAACCCCCCACCCACGCAATTAATTCTAAGCAGAGTATGTAAAATTAATAGTTCTGTTATGGACTAGGTCTAAGTATGACCTGCAGTTTAAATTTCTAGATAACACATTTATCTTCCCTAAAGGATAGATTGTATCTCTCCTAACAGGAGAAGTTTCATATTATAAAAGGTAATGTGATCGTGTAGTGTAATCACTTGAAGAGAACAAAAGATGATTCAGCTTTCTGCTGCATTTAGGTAAGCACTGAAAGGAATGCAAAAAAACATAAAAAGGAAAACCAAAAATCTTTCCTGTGTCCTTTTGTCACTGAAGATTACTACATCATTTTGATGTCTGCTGGAAGACCAGTGACTTGATCGGATTCAAGCTTCACCCAGTAAACATTCATGCGGATGAGAAACATTATTTCCAAGAGCTGGATTGAACATTTAGCCATACACAAGAGAAAGACATTTGTGCTATTCATGAATGTTGCTCAGAAGAACACATTGTCATAAGCATCGCTAGTACAAGTAGAACCAGATAGCAAAATGTCTTTATAATTAGGCAAAAATGCAGAAAAATGATGGAAACAGAAGACAGATGAGAAAGAGGAGGAGGTGAGAAGGTTAGGAGTTAGTGCTTGGAGATCAGTTTTCTGCAGAAGTGCTAGATAACGTTAATGCAGAAGAGAAGAGGCAGGTAAACGAAGAGGAGAAACCAAAAATAAAGTAACAGTCCTTAAACAAGCTTAAGAAAAATTGTTTTGCATTCGCTCTCCTCCAGAACTGTTTGTCACCTCCAAATTCTGATGTACCTTAAACCTCAGCTATAAACATTAAGCTTATAGGAATCAGTAAGATTATAGTTCTTTCTTGAAGACTTGGTTACATAATTATATAAACTGCAAATATGCAGTGTTCCTTGTGCTGTGTATCTGTGGCATTAAAATTTCAGTCTATGTTCAGTTCAGGCTTTCAGCCCAAAGCTCTGGAGACAAAATTCACCCTGTCTTGCATCTATATTTGAAGATAGCTAGCGGAAACACAGTCAGATTTGACAGCATCTAACAAATGCCTCCATCCTTTCTCCCTGTTGCCAGCTTTGTGAATTTCCTTGGGAATCCCCTACCAGGGAGACAGCAAGGACAGGCAGCCTGGGGATGCAGAGTACAGCCACTGGAAAAGCCTGCAAGCCCATAACTCAGCTGCCAAAACTGCCTCCTTTATCATGCTCTTAGTATTTTGATAGATGATTAATATTACTGGAAAATCCTAACAAAAGCTGACAACAGAAGACCTCACTGAAGTTGCACACTTGGAAAGTATTCACAATTTGGGGAAGGTCAGACCATTCTAATTATAACTTGTCTTCAAATGTTTCTCAAATGTTCTGTCAAAATGCTTGGAAATTTTTTTTCCTTGTTTGTCTGCTTATCTTTTTAGAGTAGATGATCATCTAGAAAACATTTTTGTATTTGTGTATTCTGAACAGCATCCTCCCAAGAAATTGCTCTGAGACCTGGAAAGGTCATCTATGGGAGCACAGAAATACAAATTAGCAAGAAAATTATTGGATTTTTTTCTTCACACTAATACTGACTTTTTACATCTATTCTAAGGTTGAATTTTGCGCATAGGTATGACTTAACATAATATGTTCTGACAATTATTTTTAAACCATAACATACATCTCACAGATCACCACTCCAAATTAATTAATTTTAGATACAGTAATAGCTATCCATAGGTGTATGTGCAAATCCACTCAATATTTTAATAACTTAGGGTTTTGGGTCAATATAGGTCTTATTTCATTGGAAAGAGAAGTGAAATTTAATTAAATAATTAGAAATATTTTTAACTGCCGAGTCTAGATAGAATCCGATTTGCAGCATCTTCATCAAATAATTTAGAACCTGTTCAATAAAAAGGACTTGGAACAATTACAGTGTATTTAGATTTGGTCCAATGTGTGTGATTATCCTGTAGCTGCTCCCTTTTCCTAACTGATGAATTATCTTGACATTAAGTTGATAGACAACTTGAATTATAAAGTCCTATGCCAAATAGTTCTGATTTAAGTTTGTTTTAAACACAGTTTAGCAAACTTCTACTCCAACAGTGCCATGGAGAGATTCAGTTGTATATATAGATACACAATAAATTAGTTGTGTTCATCCATTAAGAGTAGAAGAGCACACGTGTCAAATAGCTTCAAATTTTCTAGTGAAGCCAGCAAATCCTATAGGACAAAGTCATGTCAGCTTTTTAATGAGAGGCACAGCTATGTCAAGGGTCTTTCACCTCCAGGGAACAGAATGCTAACATGGTACCTATTCTTCTTATGAATAGTTATCAAGTTTAAATATCTTTTACCTCAATGAAATCACATTGAGTTCATTATAATCTCATTTCCTGATCCAGAACCACTTAACTTACTCTTATATTAATGCTGATACCATGCATATAGTTAATCATGTCTACATTTTTCTTTTGTAGGAAAACCAAAGGATGATCTGGCATTGAAAGCTGATATTAATCCAGTACGTGACAATGCTTTTTCTTTACCATATTTCTTTCAAGTCACAGAATTTCCGTAACTACTTAAGTGGAATTTTGTTGTTGCTGGAACAAATGGTGGCTCATGCTTTTTCCCATACCCTTTCCCCCACATGCATTATGCTGTGTATGTCTGAAAACTATTTTTCACAGTTATGTAGGTTGCACAAAAATCTCAGCACCTAAATCCTTGATGAATGCATCACTAAACATATTGGAAAAGATATTACATGCTGATGTGGATTGAAAATCAGATGAAATTCCTCCATAGAGGATTTTTCTCACATAGTGAACCCTAGTAAAAATATTGCAAGATACTAAGTTTTAGGAATGATTTTTTCAAGTATAGGTATTATAAAAGCAGTTTGTAGCTTTCCCAGATGCACTTTTTCCTCAGTAACAAACATCCCACCTTCAATCACTGCTGTGAATTTTTTTGTATCTGTTTTTCTGTTGAACGTTTTTCTGCCAAAAATGGGTGCATTCTGATCTGTTTTTAAAGCAATCCCATGAAAATATGTGGAGTGTTTCATCAGATGTCTACAAGTCAGTCTGTTTCTTTCAGACCCTCCCCTAGGGGTTGATGGAAATGTCCTTATTTCTGCTATGTCACCTGAGTATGTCTGGTGAGACATTCGAACTAGCTTTGATATAATTGTTTTAAATACTACTCTTTTTCATGGAGTAGCAATATGTGCCTCTGCCTTAGAAAGCATGGTAAAGTACTCCATGGTAAACTTCATGCTGCTCTGGCCTAAACTGTTACCTCTGCACAGTTGCATGGTTTAAAGGTAGGTCGGGTAGCTCTTCACTCACTATATTGCTGTACTGCTCTGTAGGTACAACCTGTGACAGTTTTCCTGGTTGAGATCTTGTCATATACACAGCTGCAGGAGCTGTTAAAATCTTCTCAAGGTTTCCAGAGATCTGTGTAGGATATTTCTCATACATACCATCATGTGGGTGTTTACTTAGCGTGACATAGCTTCAAACCATCATTGCCTTTTATCCCCTACGCAGTCTGAAGGCGTTCGACAATGTCTTCCAGATTCAAATGTGAGAAAAAGGAGACTTATCTAACTGTATGCTCCAAGACTTGAGCTACAGAATAATTGCCCAAATTAGCAAAATTAGCAGCAAAAACAGTATTCTAATAATTGTACTTCCATTTTCCCTACAACAAAGCAAAGAAGTTTTCAGCTACTCGTATATAAAGGCAGGTGGTTACAAGATCTGAGTCTGATCTCATTTTATCCGGTAGTAGTCCAAATGTTTGTTTTAAATGACTTCTCCAAAATGAAATCCAAGAGCACCTAACTAGTTTCTCTTTCCTATGTTATAAAATAATTTATGTTTGTTATAAAATGATTTATATGTAAAATATAAATAACAATCATACTGGATTAAATGAGATTAAATATCTGCAACTGTTTGGTGGCTCCCTCTCTTCTTATTATTTGGGATCAGTGGCCAGTTGTGAACCACATCAGGAAGTAATACACCGATACTTCTGTGGTGCTTTGGGGCTTGCCTGTGGGGTGAGAAACTCCTTAGGGACGCACTGCACACTGTTGCTTCTGTTCTGGGAGCTTAAAGTCAGACAGAGACTTCCTAAAATCCTTTGTAATAGTTTACACCTCATACTAAGTTGCTCATTTTTTATCTTTGAATACATGCACATATAAGCATATCTAAATATATACCTGTAAAATGTTGTATGACATGCTAGCCGTTAGAATGTGTTTCTTGCATACAAGTTATATCCTGCTTGAAAGCTTCCTAGGAAACACTTAGATTTTTTATATTATAAAGTGCATGGTTTTTTTTCAGGATGCAAGGATTTCTGGTTGTGCATTAATTTGCTGTAAAATGCACGGAGATGATAAGCTTCCAGCAACTCAGTCCAACTCAGTTATCTGCATCCTTCTAGGTGAAGATGTCAGGACTTCATGCCATTTTTGTCATTTCACTATTTTACAGCTCAAACTTCTACATGGAGTTAGAGCAATCCACAATTTAAAATGTCTGTTGAAACTTCCCATCCCTCTGGAAACTAATATGGCAGCTGCTTTACTGAATCGAGAGCAATTTGCCTTCTTGGAAATTAACTTTGGGAAAAGGAACCAACCCTTGTATACCAAAACTTGATTTAAACATCAACCAGAATGGCCTAACTTTTGATTCATGTACGTTTGGCCCAAGTCATGGAACCCCACATCACTTTCACTTTTACTTAAAGATTACACTTCTGAAGAAGGAACTTCATCTGAAAAGAATCTTTGTGCTTTAGCTGTATTTCCCTTAAGGCTGCTTCCAGGAGGCAAAAATAATCTGAGGAGTAGACTTGCCAGCTCCAAATCAAATAACTGAGGCATGAGAGGGCATCTTTTGTGAAGAAAACTTTCTTCAAGTCTTTTTACTCTAACATCGATTCTACCAGAGCCCTGTGCCTTGGGATATACTGACAGAAGCTGACATGTGCAAGGGTGGGATCAGTACCAAAATAAACTTGAATGGCCCAAATTTTACCTTGCATCATTATTGATTTATAGAAATTATTCAGGGTAGTAAGTTTTTAAACCACTATGTTAAAACCATCAAACAAAACCTACCATACCATGTACATAATGACACATGCTTAGGGTTTTACAGAGAGAAAAAGAAAAATGTTAAAGTGGTGCAGACATCATTGTAATTTGAAACATTCTCATGATTTCTTATAAGACAGAGTGCAAACTTTGTAAGGGCACTGACCCAGGTCATCTACCTCACATTTTACATAGCTTCTGTGCAAACTATACCTTTAGACAGCTTCTGATGGGGCAATTGTGATAGATGCATTTTCTTCCTTGTGGATGCTTTAAAAGAAAATTCAAGAGGGGGTTATTTTTAGAAGTTTATTTCCATGTAAGAGCAGATAGTAATTTCCTTCATCTCTCCTCCACTCTTCCTTTTCTTTGTGTATACCATTCTCTAATAGTGAAATACACTTCCAGATCTACACAGTATTTCAGTGTCAAACATAACCATTCTCACCATGCTTCACTGGACACATAGCTTATCTGTATCTTTGAGATGTACATTCTATAACAGACATACTGAGAGAAAAAAACAACACTTGTTGCATAAGGAGAATTAAAACAATTCTAAGGGATACAGCTACTTTTGCATTCAAGTCTTTATCTCTACTTGAAGGATATAAAACATCAAGTTTTATTTCCAAACACACTGTCTGGTTTATCAACTAGATAATAATTCTATTGCTGGCAACTCCATTTGCAGAATGAAGATTGAGATTAAAGATCCACAATCAGTTGTTCAATAAATTTGAGGAGCTGACACAGAGAAATTTTTAATCTAATTTTCACTTTTTTTTAATTCATATTTTCTTGACTTTATTGTTGTTTGCATGTACCATAGAACTCTCAAATGGGAGAAATGCATTAGTACTATTTCTATAAATTGGATATCTGTGGTCACTAGATAAAAAAGCAGTTTTCATCTATGGTAATTACTGGGTTTCATTCAAATATGATTGTAATTTATGGAGTAATATCTTAGCTAGATTATTAATTGATCAAATGTGTCATCTTAAAAGGGCAAAATTATCAATACACTTCAGCACCAAGGGGCTACAATCATTACAATACACCACAAATTAATGCTTCAGGGTCCCCTTTCTCCCAAACATTATTAATAAATAAACATTAGGCCAAATTTCCAGTGTCTGTATGATAAGATAACCTGATTTAGGAGGGTAAATTTGAACCTAAATTTCAGCTGTTCAATGTGTCAGTACTCATGGTCCTGACTAGTATTTGTTATATCTTAATGCTAATTTTGATACACTTACCCCTTGGTAAAATACTGAGATTTCAGTGGCAAAACCAGTCCAGTAAGCCTGTCAGTGCAGCTGTTCTTGCCACACACAGTCACAGCATTTACACATTGGTACCTTTATGCAAGTAACTGAGTGCACTTATCAGCATTTCCTAATGCACTTATGCTTGTAAGACAAAGTAGAAACTTCAAGAATCATCCTAAAGAGTGCTTCAAAGAGGCACAGGAAGCTTGATTGTCACTTTAGGAAATTACAAACCCTTTAGAATATACAGGTTGTGCAAGAAATTCTCTGAGGCTAGCAACAGCCTTTGAAAGCCTGGTTACATTATAAAATGCTAACCAATTAGATCTTAAGAAGCACAGAACAAAACCAGCATAACTCCAGCAGGTGACAAAGGTGAGAGGAAAAGATGAGTTTCACCAAAGAGTCCTTTGGCATACAAGTTCAGGTAGAAAAACCTTAAAAAACTGCAGGGAAGGGAGAAGAGGTGACGTGGACGCCTTAGGCAAGATAGAAAGCAAACCAACGGATCAGAGAAGAATGTTAGAGAACTAGTATGGACACAAGGGAACACAAGCAGGGAAAAAGAGCTTATTGGTGGAAGGACTCAATAAGTTAGCAAGGTAGTTGATTTGACAGCTAATTTTCAGAAGGTGAGAAGTAAAGTAACAGTGACTCAAGGGAGGAGGGGAAGAATGATGTTTGTAATAATGAGGAAGGAAAATAATAATGATCCTGGAAAGATATTCTTTGGGGTAGTCAGATACAGACAGGAAAATACAGAGATTGTCTCACATGTTACATCCAGAGTGAGGCCAACAAGGATACCTGTTTAGTGCACGAGAGAAATGCTGTGCATGTTGTCTACCTAGACTTTAGTAAAGCCTTTGACACCATTTTCCACAGCATTCTCCTGGAGAAATGGGCTGTTCGTAGCTTGGACAGTGTACTCTTCACTGCATTAAAAACTGGCTGGATGTGTGAATCACAGAGTGGTGGTGACTGCAATTAAATCTGATTGGCAGCCGGTCACAAGTGGTGTTCTCCAGGGCTCAGCATTACGGCCAGTGTTATTTAAATATCTTTATCAATGAACTGGATGAGGGGATTGACTGCAACCTCAGAATGTTTGCAGATGACACCAAGTTGGGCAGGAGTGGTGACCCACTGGAGGATAGGAAGGTCCTGCAGAGGGATCTGGACAGGCTGGATAACTTGGCAGTGACCAACTAGATGAGGTTCAACAAGGTAAGGTGCCAGGTCCTGCACTTGTATCACAAACACTGGGCTTGGGGAAGTGGGGCTGGAAAGCTGCTGGCGGAAAAGGATCTGAGGGTATTGGTCAACAGTCAGCTTAACAGGAGCCAGCTTGTGCCCAGGTGGCCAAGAAGTATACATTTGTAAGCCATGGTGAATTACATTAAAAGAGTAAAATTTTGGTGTGTATCCCTGCCTAAGAGAAGAACAGACAGGGAGGGAAGGACTATCTTCTTTCAGTGCTTATCTTTACGGTGCAACTCCTCCAAAGAAAGATATGTAAACAAATTAAACTGCAGTACCTTTTCTGCCGCAATG